CTCTTGGATAATAAGAATTAATAAACATTTTGTGTATCATTTTTTATTATTAGCAAATACATACATAACTTAAAAATTGATTAACCATTTCGCCAACTAACGCTCTTGATGGATGTATATCCAAGCTACGTTTAGCAACGGTTGCATCCATCTGGTCTAGAACAGTTACTTTATTATAAAGCCCTTTAAAAGCTTGGCGCAAAATATTGGAGTAAACTAATCCAATATAATCATTTACTCTGAGTTGCCACTCTCCAACATCCATTCTTCGATGTGTATGTGGTAATTTAATAAACACTTTGATATTGGGTTTCGTTTCAAATATCCGCACTAAACTTCTTCTTAATTCCAAAATATGTGCAGCATAATAATCAAAATGATACTGCTGGATATGAAGATACAAATGAAGCACTAGCAGGAGATCTTTTCCTTTGCCTGATCTTGCATTGATGAAATCTTCAAAGGAATTGTTTATAAAAAAGCTATGCAAATCTTCCTACCAGAATTGATATACTGGAATATTATGTCCGAGAAAACATATGTTTATGCTGTATTTACAGATGGTGCATTTTTTTAGTTTGCTCCATCCATAAAAACCATATTTACCACCAGGGCAGAGTTTCTCCATTAAATATGTACACCACTGAAAGAGAGTAGAGTCTCCCCAAAACACAATGGTTTTATTCCTTAAGCATTGTCCATCAAAGTGTTCAATACCTGTTAAAATTCATTCACCACATAACATATGTAACGATAAATTAGAATCATAACATAGTTGATTTTGATACCTGTAAAAACTAAAGATTGGGATCACCCGTCCATAAAACATTTACACCCCCTGTATATTAACATGATTTATATCACCTTTTATCATGCATAACAAACTCAATGTTATAAACAGAAAAATAATATTTTTCCAACATTCAAGAAAGATAAGTTTGTCCAAAATCATTGAACCACGACCAAATTCAAACTTTCCACAAAAGTATGAGTGCTTATACCTAAGATGTATCTATATTATTTTCAAAGTGAAACGGACATAACTCTGCCAAAAAATCATCGAACCATGACCAAATTCCAACCTGACCTGCCCATCCTTTTGACATATCCATATGTCAAATTTGAGTTGAATATGTAACACAGTTGGGTAGATAATGAACAGAAACTGTAAATTTCATATTATTTTCAAAGTAAAAGGGGCATTACTCTGCCAAAAATCATTGAACCATGACCAAATTCGAACTTGGCCTGGGCATTCCAAAAAACATATCCATATGTCTAATTGAGTTGAATGTGTTGAACTGGTGGGGAGATAATGAACGGAAACTGAAAATTTCATATTATTTTCAAAGTTAAAGGGGCATAACTCTGCCAAAAATCATTGAACCACGACCAAATGTGAACTTGACCTGCGCATTCCTTTGATGTATCCATATGTCAAGTTTGAGTTGAATGTGTTGTACCGTTGGGGAGATAATGAATGGAAACTGAAAATTTCATATTATTTTCAAAGTGAAAGGGGCATAACTCTGCAAAAAATCATCGAACCATGACCAAATTCGAACTTGACCTGTATTTTCTCAAGACATATCCATATGTCAAATTTGAGTTGAATGTGTTGTACCTTTGGGGAGATAATGAACGGAAACTGAAAATGTCATATTATTTTCAAAGTAAAAGGGGCATAACTCTGCCAAAAATCATCGAACCATGACCAAATTTGAACTTGACCTGCGCATTCCTTTGATGTATCCATATGTCAAGTTTGAGTTGAATGTGTTGTACCGTTAGGGAGATAATGAATGGAAACTGAAAATTTCGTATTATTTTCAAAGTGAAAGGGCATAACTCTGCCAAAAATCATCGAACCATGACCAAATTCGAACTTGACCTGTATTTTCTCAAGACATATCCATATGTCAAATTTGAGTTGAATGTGTTGTACCTTTTGGGGAGATAATGAACGGAAACTGAAAATTTCATATTATTTTCAAAGTATAAGGGGCATAACTCTGCCAAAAATCATCGAACCATGACCAAATTTGAAATTGATCTGTATTTTCTCATGCCATATCCATATGTCAAGTTTGAGTTGAATGTGTTGTATCGTTGGGGAGATAATGAACGGAAACTGAAAATTTCATATTATTTTAAAGTAAAAGGGGCATAACTCTGCCAAAAATCATCGAACCATGACCAAATTCGAACTTGACCTGTATTTTCTCATGACATATCCATATGTCAAATTTGAGTTGAATGTGTGCAACCGTTACTAAGATAATGAACGGAAACTGATGATGACGGAATGACAGAATGACGGAAGGACGGAATGACGGAAGGAAGGAAGGACGGAACAGGGTAACACTATATGCCCCGGCCATTACATGGCGGGGGCATAAAAATATGACATTGACATACTGTGGAACATAATGATATTTCCATTTTCCAAAGGACAATTGATAAAAGTGTTATTGTAAATATATTTTTAGTTAAGAATATTATAGTGATTATTCTAAAAGTACAAATATTGTTTAATTAAAGAAACAATAATCATGTATCTTACGATACATACAATTCTTGATGATACATATCTGAAAAATCTGTGTGATCAGAGAATATAAAATGCCCATGTTTAAAACATGATATTATGCATCTTCTTGTGACAGTTTCTATTTTGTATTTTTGCTCAAGGACCCGATTTTTATCAATTTTTTCCCTTCGAATAAATTCGGAATATAGATTTCATTCCGATTGCTGTTATGTAAAGTCATATATTGGTTTCCACTTCGGTTATTCGCAGTATGTCATATTAATGAATGAAAACGCGAACAGATTTCACGCCTAGTAGTGCACATTGGGTTATGTATGTATATTATTGCTGTACATGAATTCGAAAGCTATAAATAGATGACCTTAACATTATGTTATTCTGAATATCTATGTATCGAAGAAGTATGTTAACATTATGCTAACATTATGTTAGTCTGAATATCTATGTATCGTAGAAGTATGTTAACATTATGCTAACATTATGTTAGTCTGAATATCTATGTATCGAAGAAGTATGTTAACATTATGCTAACATTATGTTAGTCTGAATATCTATGTATCGAAGAAGTAGCTTGAGTTAAGTGGGTCTGAAACAAAACAAAACGGTCGGTCATTCGTGTCGTGCTATGGAAACAAATAACGAACTTGAGAAATTTGCAGGTAATGAAATGCAAACATATTCAACATATTGCACTCTTTTTAAATTTTAAAAAAAAGTAGGCCATTTTACGAATTGTTAAATCATAGTATTATCATTTTGAAATTGTCTTTCTATAAGTTTATATCCGGTTAATTAAAAGTTCTTTTTACGACCCTAATTGTACTTCTGGCTGGCATGTTTTAACGTGAGCATTTCAATTGACCCTGATTTCATTATTTTTACAAGTAAGAAATGATTCAATTTGGTTTGAAGGCAAACAGTTTTTTTGGAAGTTTGAGCGAATTGTTATCTCACCGAGTACTATGACATTTTAACACTTTGCAGTTTTAGCATGAGGTGTTATGAGTTTATTGATAGGAATGCAAAACACACTGGTCAGTCTGTCGAGGATTTTGAAGCAATTGAACAAAATAGTAGAGTGACCTCCCAACAAATCAATTAACAATAACTCTTTATTTATCACCAATGTCAAGTAGCTTACTTTTATATTTGTGATTTGCATGAACATGGTGTTAGTGAATTTACTCATACCTGTCTAAAATTCAGGAAACAGTCTTCCATAATATTGATAAATAATATTTCACCATATCAACATGCCATGCAAATTTATTCATTATCATTAAGGTACCATTTTCTTGTTAATGCTTAGGCAAAAAATCCTGAAATTGGTCTTAATGAAATTCATCCAAAATTTTTCAATCCAGTGTGTGTTTTACTTTCAGTATTTATCAGGGACTTGAAATCAAACTGCTTTATCGGGTATTAGTAAAAACATTTTATTTTAATTTGATATAAAAAATACATGTAATATTACTATATTTGTCATTTTTGTTACTAATTTAACATACAGTTTGTACATGTGTTACAATTATAATATAAAACAAGACTTTGTTTATTTTGAATATTGTTTTGTATGTTCCAAAGAAATTATATTTAATATTCTTATCTCTAGTTCATGATGGACAATGTCTTTCGTCCGCCCATTCATCCATCTTATACAATTCTGATTAAATCCAATTAACCATTGACTCATGAGATGTCTGCTAGTTCCTCGTAACTTACCGCATTTCTTGCTTGGATGTCCTTTGATGCTTTGCATATATCATGATATACCATTTGCCGAAAAACTTGTAACGAGATTTTGATAAAATTAAATCGATGAAAAATTTTGTTTTAGCTTATTTACATATCGATTTGTATATTGCTTACTAAGATTAGGTGTTGATATTTATAGAAAATGAGTAACATTACAGGTGAAAAAGAAAATGTAGATGCCATGATATTTTTGATCATCCAATATTACTTACTACAGTAATAATACAAACAGAACAATGTTGCACTACTGTCATGTCACATTACAAGTCTTGTAAGTCTTGTTTGTATTGAAAATACTTTCCATACCAGGAAGGCATAAGTGAAAGCATATTTTCAAAAAATTAATATCTTGCCCCTCTCTCATGAACGATACGATAAGAATAAATATGCAAATTTAAATGATTTACACAACGTCCGGAATAATGTACAATATTACTTATATGAATAGAAAATGACCTTTATGTAGGAATGATTTAATAAAGTATCTGTAATGAGCACACTTATTTGCGAGGAACTTCTCAATTACTGCATTGCAGCAACATTAGTACTTGCATTTTAAGATTGTACAACATTTGATCACATTTCATGTTTTAAATAAAAAGTGAACTGGCATGGGATTTATAACTTGATAATATAGATCAGCATATTGGGCTTTTCACTCTACAGAAGAACATGTTTATGATTGGATTTTGGTCACTGTGACAAATTATTATGTGGTGTTTTGTACACTCTTAAAACTCATAGGGAAAATATATATACCTTGCCCACATTGTTTTATTTTCATGTAATTTTGCTGTTATTTATACTTCCGATGGATCACTTTTTTCCCGATATTCATGATGAAATGCACGCCTAAAAGCGTCTCTTTCACATGAACAGTTGTGAATTTCTGACCATTCATGCAATACTTTATTCGTGACTGTATGACCTAGTGTTTGTATATTATTAGATTACTAATAATTATAAGAAAAAGCACCGAAAATACAATTGCGACAACGTTCTCTTTGATGAGGTGATATAAGAATATAGTTTGGTATGAATTATCCTCTTGGATAATTAGAATTAATAAACATTTTGTGTATCATTTTTTATTATTAGCAAATACATACATAACTTAAAAATTGATTAACCATTTCGCCAACTAACGCTCTTGATGGATGTATATCCAAGCTACGTTTAGCAACGGTTGCATCCATCTGGTCTAGAACAGTTACTTTATTATAAAGCCCTTTAAAAGCTTGGCGCAAAATATTGGAGTAAACTAATCCAATATAATCATTTACTCTGAGTTGCCACTCTCCAACATCCATTCTTCGATGTGTATGTGGTAATTTAATAAACACTTTGATATTGGGTTTCGTTTCAAATATCCGCACTAAACTTCTTCTTAATTCCAAAATATGTGCAGCATAATAATCAAAATTATACTGCTGGATATGAAGATACAAATGAAGCACTAGCAGGAGATCTTTTCCTTTGCCTGATCTTGCATTGATGAAATCTTCAAAGGAATTGTTTATAAAAAAGCTATGCAAATCTTCCTTCCAGAATTGAAATACTGGAATATTATGTCCGAGAAAACATATTGTTATGTTGTATTTACAGATGGTGCACGTCTTTAGTTTACTCCATCCGGAGAAAGCGTATTTACCGCCAGGACAGAGTTTCTCCATTAAATATGTACACCACTGAAAGAGAGTAGAGTCTCCCCAAAACACAATGGTTTTATTCTTTAAGCATTGTCCATCAAAGTGTTCAATACCTGGTAAAATTCATTAATCAAAACACATAACATATGTAACGATAAATTAGAATAATAATATATCTAAATTATTTATGTGTTTTGATAGCAGATAAAAACTAAAGATTGGTATCACCCTTCGATAATACATTTACACCCCCTTTTAAATATATATATACATGTATATATACACGATTTATATCATCCCTGCATCATGCATACCAAGCCCTATGTTATAAACAGAAAAATCATCTAATAGAAATAATGTTGTTGTTTTTTTCGGACAGAAACAAACGCCACTAATAAGCAAAACAGAGTTTCAAAATATCTGTAATTACATGAATAAACAATGGTTGAAGTTTAAAGAATAAAGGTATGTACAATATTACAGACATTTTGAAATGTCACACTTTTCTCCAGTTGAACAACAATTTATGTATCTTTTTTTCACAAATGATATCTTACCTTTACAATGTAAAAGAATCCACCTGTCGTTGTAGAAATATCCTGTAGGCTCTTCTTTGAACCATAATTTAGTATTGTTATAAACAGAACAAGGGATATTTGCTTCTTGAAATGTAGTTTTGTTTTTATTATCCGTTCTTGGCAGTGTTTGTACAATTATGTGCGACGGTATGGTCGTGGTACGATCACTTGAAAAATGAATAAACATGATTTAAACCATGTAATCAAAACAATTCTTGAACTTTATTTAAGTTAGGCCAAAAATGACTATGCTTCACTCATGTTTTCCACTGGCTGTGCTGTCTTAAGGATGTACGCTATTAAATATTATTTATAAAATTTTTAAACAGTAAAAGAATATTGTTTCAATAATCTGACAGATGATTCTCAAATGGATTATCATAGAATGTTTCCGTTATTTCCGAAACAGAATTAAAAGTTGCGTAAGTATTTTGTGCATTCTGCATGTTCCATTCATTCATGAAACATGTACGAAAGGAACATTCATGAAACATATATCAATGCAACATTCAAGAAACATATATCAATCGGACATTCATGAAACATATAGCAATGAAACATTCATGAAACTTACACACCTCCTTCATTGTTTGTGACAGGTCTATATTTTTCGGATAGACCTGTTAAACAAAAGAAAGTCCGTTATGAGGTCTATCTTTTGCACGTGCACAGGTCTGCTCTAGTCAGACAGACCCGGTCATGAAAAGCACGTGAAAAAATAGACCTACCTACGCGCAGACAAAGAAAACATGAAATGCAATCACACATTAAAAATGAAAATAAAATGTAAATGATTGTCATAATATTCCTAACTTTAATAATCTGGATACATTTTTAAACAAGATAATGTTTATTGAGTACACTTAGCAATTATTCAAACATCCCTTTATTAAATCTTTGAATAAAAATAACGTAAAGCACATCAAAGTAAGAACATGCATATCCAAGTACTTAAAGTGGCTTGGTCTACAATGGGCACATTTCAAATATCAATAAAAACGATAGAAATATATTGTTCGGATATTATTAAAAAATCTTGAAAAAGAAATGTTAATAAAATTATAAGTGATTTAGTATAAAAAATCATATGATGAACGATCATATTTTATTCTAGAACACTTTAATAATCTGCTATATAAAATATCGTTTCGGATCATGTATAACAATATATACATGTATATGTAAGTCTTTTGTGGTCTGCTTGACATTTGCCCCTGAAACAGTGCTCCCTCGAAAGTTCCCCCCTTTTTGCAGTGGCGGTCATTTTACCCCTCATATATTTGGAATTGGCGGGCATTTGCCTCCCCCTGTTTAAAAATGTTAAAATATTTAATTGTTAAATTGTTTGTTACCGAAATTCATCGCCTACTGTCAAATAGTCGAAATTCCATTGTGCTTAAATACACAAAAACTCACACGCAAATTTGTGAAAACAAAAAAGCATCCATAAATAAATATATCGTTTGCATTGTTAAATAACATATATAAAATTTATACACGAGATGACCTCTGACAAGTCAAAAACAAGGGGACAAACGTCCGAGGAGGGCAACTGTCCGGGAGGCAACTTTCCTACAACATGTACAATGTGCTATGTCTGATACGAAATACTATCAACATAATTATTCATTATTTAACATACAATACACTAATTCACTTTATTTTTAACAAATTGCACATTTAGCTTTTTATATTATTATTTTAAAGAGAAAAGCAGAGTTAAATGCAAAATATATATTATATTTAAGCAGAACGTTGATAAAAGCTTACCTATATATGCGCTGTTTGAAATATAATTTTCGTGCATTAGCCATTGGTCAAGCCAACAGTTTGACGGTGTGTAAGTTGGATATCGGCCTCGTACATCGATCTTTCTGTTTAGGAATGACCTGGTCACGAATTTCATGAAACACATGAAATGCGTGACCATGTCTTTCCTAAACAGAAAGACCTCGTACTCGGTCGATATCCTATACATAACATTATGAAACATATACCAATGGAACATTCATGAATACATTTCTTACTTACATTTTTATTCATATTATTTTTTTTTATTTCAACTGTAATTTTGTCTGCTTCATGCTACGAGGTACATATATATTAAGAACATTGTTTTTTGTTTTTGTGTAAGAGAAAATTGTTTTACCATTTACAAAAACTACATGTATTATAACGAGTGAGAGAGATGGAATGAAATAACATCTTGCGCAACAAACAAATTTCCTTTTCACATTATGCTGATACTATTCACAAGTTTAAAATGATTGTTCCTAATATAAACTTGAAAATCAAAATCTGTCTTCCCCACTAAAAGCCTCACTTTAAGAAGATTTCTCATAAATACTGAAATCTAGAGCTAGAAAGAAATTAAAATCTAAAACAAGTTCAAAAATGCAAGAATATGTAGTACTGCAGATGTTTTTACGGAGTAATCAAAATATATGCATTAATTTCTTATTGAAATATTTGGCTTTATAGAAAATAAATTCTAATTTCCTTCCTTTACTTACATAAAATGTTTATTTGGTAATTACAAATAACGCTTTTTGAACAAACAAAATTGATAAATCTTCATTTGAGCATCATATTTATGATGTAAACCATAAAAATTTAGTCACAGGATATTTAAGCATTGTTTGTATTTCCGAAATTCGTGTTTCTAACAATAGCTTATGAAAAGATAAAAAAAGATCTAGTGTTTATATTATTTAGTTGTAGTCTGAAGTGTGTTTACAAGTTGCCTCATATACTGCATACATAATAATCAGGAAAAGAAAACACCTAACCTGCTTCATTTTTATTTGGAATAATCAAATTGTCTGTTGTCAAATTTTAGGATATTATGAAAGAAATGTTAAGCTGTTTATTCTTCAGAGTTTGGTCAAATTGAACGTTGTGAATGCGGTTTTTACTCTGTATTAATAGCAAAGTCTTTATCACTTAGAGTCTATGGTCAGGGTCTAGGTCTATTTAATACAACATGTTAAAAAAGCAATAGATTAGTCATCAACAGAATTCAGCAACGCCAATACAAACGGTTAATAAATTAATTTGTCACTTTCGTTTACTTAAAATGGAAAGTACGTTTGATCGTCGTTTGAATACTAATTATTCTATATTTCTTTTTCCGAAAGATTTTGCAAGTTAATAGGTATGAATATCATTTATTAATTCAAAATACAAGTATTTTTCATGAACGATTCTATTCATGTTGAAATGAAATTTTTGAAGAATTTTTGAGAATTTTGCGCTATTTGATAATTTTTAATATACCTTTTGCACAATTCTTCTTCACACAGGCTGATTCCTTTGGTGAAATTTGCCCAGTCTCGAGTGATTGTTATCCAATGTTTACATGAAAGTTTCCCTTTAGGTTTCCCACAAAACCATGGTTGTGTTTTGTTCCAGTATGAAAAATCGCATACTTTGGATATTTTAGAATGTCTTAGAACTGTTTTATAGTCCGGACCACATGCTGTACTGTCAGAGAGGTTCTTGTTCATATATATTGCTTTTATACCGTCAAAGTCCTACAATATTAATTTTGATTTTTTGACTCCTATATATTTACTTTATCTCGGAGGTTTGCTTTCCTAGAGACCTAACAAACGATTAACAATATCTCCACTAATGACAAACTACGTAATCAACAATTAACAGTGTAATCAACAATTGTCAGTTTTCACAATACAGGGCCTGTGTACATATCTGTGCAGTACGACTAAACTGTATATTGTTGGTAGTTAAATTTATGTGTTTGTTGTTTGTACACAGGGGAAGAACTATTCCATATTTAAAGCTAGACAAGGCAATTATACAAAGGTCAGTTATACAAATTCAGCTGAATTAGATTTCGTTATGTGAAATCAATGGAAAAAGACCAATGCATGCATATTGTCGCCTTTAGCGCCAACATAAGTACTCGATTTCTGGTGTGTTTATTTCTTAATAATAAAGCTCTTCCTTATTTTATACTTATACAATTATTAAAATTGATGTTTATTAAAATGATAGGAATTCCGCTTTTCTGATGATAATTGGAGATGACTTAGATGATAATGATAATGACATAATAATCATGATGATTATGTATGATATTTCCCCCATTAGTTTAAATATTACCAGCAATACTGTATTTTCAGGATAATTATTATAAAAGGAACACAGATAACCATGTATTCATAAGACATTTATACCCATGTACTCCTTAAACGAACAGCAGTGGTCATGATTTCTTTTGTATACAACACTTCCACTTGTAACTGGGCTTGCCCAGTCCATAAAGCTTGAACTGTTGCAGTGTATGTGCCATTTCCATGGTCTAAAATAGTACCAGGTGTGTATGCTTTTAGGCGCTCGTTGAATAGTCTTGCTCGTAAATGATCGCCTCCTATGACTTTGGGATTGCCATATCCATTGTACAGTACAACAGAAAAGCAAAAATACTCTCCGAGAACGACCGAACTTCTACCTGAATTCAAATTATTGTGCATAAGCCTTTCAAAACAAGAAGAGATACATATTTCGTTTTGACAAAATTGTTTATGCAATATATACTAGTATATACATTTAAGTCATTTTTATATTCAAAATGAATGTGCCCAAATGCAATAAGCAGGCATATTGCAAAAAAAAGAAACATATTCTGGACGGGAAATAAATACAAAACAAACGTAAAAAGGGACTTCACATATATCAATTTATTTACCTTGTATATAAATAGCAGAACGTGTGGCTTCAGCAGCTAACAAACTATCATTGCATCTTACGCCCGATTTGTAAATTTCCATTGGATCTTTATATACATCAAGCGATTTTAACCTGTCAACAAACACGTATATGAAAAAGAATAAAAGTGGTGCGCACTTGAAGGTTATAATTATGATTGCATAAAGTCAGTCATTTGTTTTCATTATTATTATCAAACTATAGACTAAAGTAAGAATATCTTATTTTTTATTTTGCTTTGCGAACATAAACGTTTAAGCATTAAATAATATATTCTTATATTTTTTCTTCTTTTTTTGTCGTATTAAGGTGCAGAACAGATTTTTATTATAACTTTATATATCGCTGATATATTATATAATTGCATATCGAATTCATGTATTAGTCTCCTACTGGTTTCGATTCGTCTGTCTGTCTGCCCGCACTACCGGCGACGGATACGGGGCCATCTTACTGTAAACAGAACAAAAAAGAACAATACTCTTATATCATACGGTTATAATAGGGAAAGAAGCACGATAAACGTCTATAAAACTGGATCATGTGATGACACAAACAGTACTGAACGTTTTTTTAAAGAAACCATTGGTAGATGGCAGTCTGGAGTCTTTTTTATTCCTAAGTTGAAAAATGTGCTTGCTATGGCAAAAAATGGACTCTACATATGCACATATAGCAGTATTTGTTATAACTCTTTAAGAACTGAAAATGTTTATTGAAACGTGAAATATAGATTGACGGGAGTATGGAGATGAGCACGTCATTTTAAGCTCCACTATACTAGTACATTGAGAGCTATCCTACTAGTACAGTACCGGCGAACTTAGAATTTTCAGGAAAAAACGTTGTCAGTTTTGTGTATCATTTTTTCCATGATTACTTTCATCTTGAACTTTGAATTATATATATATATATATTTTTAACTATCAGTTGTATATTAAAAATCAATGTCACATTCTTTACTTTTTTTTCTTTTTGTTACTATAAATCTACTTTTGATAAAAGATTATTGTTCTTTGTAATCACCTACATCATATATGACAATGTTCATAAGTCGAGCATTTTATTTAAAGAGTTATCTCCTCTTTAGTTTAAGAGAATTGCTATTAAAATGCCACATTCTGGTTACAACCACAGGGAGGTTTAAATATTTTCCATCTATCTGTCCCGTTCCTAAAAAACTGTTTTCTGAGATCCCTTATAATGAACTTTTACAACAAAATAACTTAAAATAGACAAAAATTTTAAACAATAGTTATACATATTCATCATGAGAAAATTTGATCTTATACTTTTCTGTTGTATAAAACTTATTCCATATTTGGCGAGGAAACTAAACACATCACTACGAAAAAGACAAAGTAAAAACTCAAACTATCGTATTGCCTGCAATACTTTGATGCTTGTTTTACAATAGATCTTCGATTTAACTTTTTTTACAATAGATCATCGATTGAACTTTTAGTACTTTTCTTTATTATCCTTTTGGTTTTTCTTTTTTTCGTGATCAACTTGATCTTCGTAGGATTTCAAATTAGATATTTTAGGCCAATAGACCGCAGTCAATGGACAGAGATCAATTAATTCAGATGTGTATTGGTATAACATATGAAAAAAAAAGCAAAATCAATTTCATATTTTTGTAACATTGAATTATCGAAAAGGTGATGCATGATTAAAAGCATTTGTGTCATGAATTAATAGGCTACGGAAAAGACTTCGAAACTTAGAATAGAGGAGCATATTTCGATTTGTTGAATTCTTAAAAGAGGGAATAAGCAGTTAAAATTTGAACATGAAAAAGGCAATACATGAAAAGATTCGTCGTGTGCAAACTATCTAATTGTATTGGACCGATATGAGCCACTTTCAGCGATGGTTTTATTATTTATATATGATGTGTGAAAAAACATTAACCTTAATGGTTAATCAGATTATGATCTTTGCCAATTATGTGTATTTATGTTTGTTTTATTTTGCAATTGTTATGGTTGTATTTTCTACCTATCGTAATATCTTCCAGGACCACCATAATTATGTATACACAAAGATCAATAAAATTAAAAAGACCAAAGAATTCATTTATGAAAAACGTAAATCTGGAAAGTAAAAACAGATTACATTGATAATAATGTTTTTAATATTGTATACACTATTTTTACCTAGGATTTACATCTGCTTCAAATTGTATTTTGCTAAAACAGTAAAGATTCTTTCTGATCAGGCTTTAGAGCAATGTACAATTTGTCTTTTTAACATAATGCATATTTATCGTCAAGGTACTTTACACAGAGAATTACTTTGTACCAGGAATGTTCAGATATTACAAATAAAACTTATTGTATGAAAGTGTTTTCACAATGATTTCATACAAAAATATGTTGAAGAAAATGCCAGTAGTATTGCAAACGATTTGGAATTAAGCTGACATTTTGAATGCGTCTTTATTTGTTTGATTAGTTGGGTTTTACGTCACTCCGATGAATTACAGGTCATATTGCGAAGTTCAAGCTTTACAGTTGGAGGAAGACCTTATGTGCCCTTCAGTGCATTATTTCAGGCACGAACGGGTACCTGAGTAGAACCTACAACGTTCCATAAGCTAGCGGGTAAGTCAAAGGCTAATCTAATTTTTACCGTAATGGACCATTTACATAAGCATGTTTTAATTTTGTATTGGCTGTTAAAAGTCAGTCCGATATTAAGTACTAAAAACAAAGATGGCTCTCACTCATATAAGGTTATTTACAGAAAAACTCTTTTCTGATGTATTATTAAAATTTCTTTTGGATTATCGTTATTTCTATCTAAATATGGTAGCTTCTACAGTAAATAACATTAAAAAACAAAGCAACAAAATCGATACTCACAAAGGTGTTTCAGCTTGTAAACCAGTGCGAGTGGATAAGTATGTTCGCAGGTAAATAATACTTAAACTTGTAACTAACCCCAAAGATAGGTATATCTGTCTTCTGCTCAACCTGAAAAACAGTGAAATCGTACTCCATTATTACTTAAGTAAGTATCCGTTTTACTTGTAATTTTAACATGAAGTATGCATTTGTAAACAATGGTAGAGATTTTGTGCGAAACTCATAAAAGCGTCCTTACTTTGATGTACCTTATTTTGTTTTCCTTTAATTGTGCACAAAACAATTAAAGTTTGAAATTTAACAAAAGCCTGTCACGATGTAAATAATTAAACAAATTAAAAATATATTAGTATTTTGATAGTTCTTAAGTGGATAAAGATAAAAATAATGTGGGACACATAGTTTGATGATAGATTTAAGAAAACTATAGCTTTTTGTTTTAAAAACACTTAATGTAATATTTTTATGGTTATTTGCGTAACAGCTCACCTGTTCCTCCTCCGTTTTTCTTATGAGGAAGAGTGAATGTTATTAAATTATCATGATACTGCATGAATCTTGTATTTCAAAGCGAAACCTAAAGCGGTTGTTCAAAAATTTCTTCCAATAGTTAATTATTTCATTTTTATAATCGTTTTCATTTTAGGAG